GCCCGCCCGCCCGGCGCCCCGCGATCCCGGCTCCCCGCCGCTGCCTCTCGCCCAGGGGACCCAACCGAAAACAAGCGAAAAGGTCCCCAGCTCGGGGGCGGGCGGATTCCGGACTCACCGATGGTGGGCTTCAGGCACGGCTCAAACGCACCGTCGGTGAACCTCAGCAAGAGGCTGCGTGGAAAGCAACCGAGAACTCAGCCCAGTGTCGAGAGCACCCCGCCCGCACGGCCCGCGCGGCCCGCACCTGGACTTCCCCACGGCGCTGTCTCCGACCAGAAGCAGCTTCAGGGTGAGGCCTGCAGCATCCATCCCCCGCGCTGCACGGGGCCGGGGCCGGGGCCGGGGCCGGAGCCGCCCGTGGCGGAGGCCGCCGGGCCGGGCCGATCGAAGCGGCGAGGAGGCTCAGCGCAACCCTGACAGAGCGGCGCGCTGCTCCAGACCTGACTCTGCCGGGCGCCGCCGGCAGAACCAGCTGACGCGACTCCGCCTATCAGGCGGCGGCCGGTGCCGGGCGGGGCGGGGCGGGAGCGGGCCGGGCCCGAGCTGCTGCGCCAAGGGGCCCTCTGGCTGGCCGTCGGGGCTCGGCGCGGGCCTGGCCATGTCCGACTACCGGATCTCGGTGGAGGAGCTGAACGACCTTCTGGCTAATGGGAGCGGCTGCTACAGCCTCCCCAGCGCGCACAGCAACGAGGTGGTGCCGCGCATCCACGTGGGGAACGCGTGAGTGCGCCGGGCCGGGGCCGGGGCCGGGGCCGAGGCCGAGGCGGGCGGCTCGGTGGAGGAGGGGGTCCGCGTCTGTCAGCCTGCGAGAGGTGTTCCCCTCGGCACGGGAGTGCGGAGGCTGGGGCAGGCCGTGCTGCAGGGTGGTGAGGCGCAGGGCGTTCGCCGGGTAGCCGCCTGACCGGGAGTTTGAGCCGGAGGAAGCGAAGCTGCGGGGCGGAATCTGCTGGATCTGTGCGGGCCCCGGGCGGCCCTCCGGAGCCCGGCCCCGGGTGCGCAGCCCAAGGGTCTCGAGCTCCGGGGAGCTGTCAGCCGGGAGGCCTGGGGCTGCAAGGTCCGAGCAGCCTGGCAGCAGGCTGCCCGGGGCTCCTGCTGGTGCCTGAGGCGGCAGTGAGGAGGCACAGCTCCTAAACGGCATCTGCTGAAGTGTTCAGTACCCTGGTGAAGTCCCAAATCTAACCTAAAACAGAGCTGAAAGAAGGTTAAAACTAGTTAAGTTGCTTAAGAATGAAACACACCTGCTCAGTCGTCTCAGCTCTGGGGTTTTTTTTTCTGCTGATATTCCCTACTCTTGCTAACAAGTTGTGGTTGTCCTCACAGACGAGGGAGGAGAGACAAGGTGCCGTGAGGGGTATGTACGATATCATCTGTAGAAGCCTGATCACAACACCAGTGTAATAACCGTGTGTCAGATGAGTGGAATAAGCTGAAACATGAAGAACAAGCAAAGTAGCCATAATAGATCTTGGTTTAACCATGTGCAAAATGACCTAAAGGAAGCAAGACTTCAGTAGGAGTCACCACCCCTGTCTGTGATTGGTCAGATTTATGTTTCTGCACTCTAAGCCCTAAAAAAACTCATTCTAATTAAGTATTCATGCACATGATGGGAGCCAGAGCGATACAGGTATAGCTGTGATGAAAGCCCCTAAATGGGGAAAAGTCACCAATAGCACTCCTTTTCTCGGTTGTATAATGTTTATTCTTTGCACCAGGATTATGATTTCGGTTATCTGTTCCAATCCTGTCATATCCTGCTGATTCTCTTTCCCTTTTTTGTCCACCTTTGTACACTTCATCTCTGTGAAATTGGGGACTTTTTGATACATGTGTAGTATACTGGATCCCTGTTCTTATTTGAAGCTTTTAACTCCTAAAGAAATGTAAGTCAAACCCATAGATTTTCATTAACTTTCTCCTAAGCCAAACCAAATGATGTTTGTCACTGCCGGTTGATGCAGGACATGCGCTTCTAGAGATGGGACTGAAATTATTATCTCAATGGCCAATCTGACATCTGACAGCCACCTTCTCCTTCATATTTTTAGCAGTTACCTGGAGGAAATGAAGTCATAGCCTGCAAGGTGATTTGTGTAGTAAATAATTAAAAAATAACTTTGAAGATAGTTGGCTACTACAGAGTAGTTTTCATTGTTCAGTAATTGATTTTAATTATACAGTATGGACTTTAATACGTTCAGATGCAAGGTTGTCTAGGAACAGAATGCGTGTGTAAGTTGCAGGATGGAAAATGTCTGTCTCGTGGAAAGCTTTACCACTGAGAAGGGCTTTTAATGTAATGATTGACAACTGAAAATATCTGGAGCACCAGTGCAGTTTGTAGCATAAGAACAGTTTAACTGTTAGTTGAACTAACAGACAATGTGCAATTCTACTGTCAGTGTTTTTAAAAGGATGCTGAAAAATTGTGGAGGACAGCTAGAGGCAAGAAATAATTTTGTGGGCTGAAAAAGCTATTTCACAGTGGGAACAGACAACCTACTTAATTTATCAAGACTTAGTAGGCCATAATATCTTTGAAGCATCCACAGAGTGTTAAGATAATGCTGAGGTCTAGTTGAATGGATGAATGTCTATTAAGATTCCATAACTGCAGGGTGAACTTTGATATTCTCAAACTGGAAATAATACTAATTCTTAAGAGGATTTTTTGTATCAGGTGGGGTTGTGGTATACTGCATTGTAAGTACTATTTGCTATATTAGTTGTCATTCTGAAAGAATTTGAAACTGTGCAGATCTGTTCTCATGCCATTTCCAGCTACATTTGCAGTTCATTAGCCTGTCTTGGTCTGCTCTAGCATCTGCACACAGCTTGGTATACATTTCATGTTTGAAGCTGTCCTGGTGCAGTGCAGTGCATCTGATTGGTGCTCACCTCATATCTTGGTTTTGGCCTTTGTTGCACATATCTCCTTACTCAATCTCTGAAGAGTCATTGGAAGCACTTTGCACTGGGCTACAGGGAAGTCCAGCAAGGCAATATAGCAGGAGAACAAAGTAACACGGTCGTTTGATCTGACATTCAAATCTCTGCTTTGACTTGGATGGATGAAACCTTCCTGCAATATAGGGCCACAGTTATGACTACAAACAGCAAAGGTTTTATAACAATAAGATTTCACAGAGTAGCCACATCTGTAGAGTTTTAACATGGGGTTGGGAATCCCAATACATGGCATAAAAGCAGTAGAATTTGAGCAGGAACTCGCAGAAAGAATTAGAATGTGCATGTGAGATTCAGAAACTTCAGTTGGAAACCTTTTAGAATATTTTGCATGGGGTGCTGCTGTCTCTCCTTAAGAGTAACTCATCTTTAGATAAAAACGACAATGCAGAGACATTCAGGTGGATAAAATTAAATTGGGTCAGAGTGTAGAATAACAATTTATCTGTCAAATGACTTCAGGTTACAGGCAGAGCCAAAGTACTGGATCTTCCATGCAATACATGAAAGACATAATTAATGAAAACACAGAGGTAAAACGATAAAACAATATTTTAAAAATAATGGTTTTGCATATTACAGTAGATAGTTCTAACCTCTCAAGAAGATTAGACAAGATTTGCGAAGACAGGTAAAAATGTAATGTCACTAAAACAAGAATCATCACATAGGTGACAGACTAGCACAATTATATATTTTTCAAGCAATAACAAAACAAAAATTCAGGATACACTGGAAGTACAAATCATTTTCTATTTCTGTACAAGTCAAGATGTGTTTCACTGGAAGTATAAATCATTTTATATTTCTGTACAAGTCAAGATGTGTTTCAGTGTAACATCTTAATCAGTGACCAGGACAGTTGAAGAGAATGCATCTTTATCAGGGTTGCAGATGACACCAAAATGGAGCAGTCAGCACACTGGAGGGTAGGGGTTTTATTCAGAGCAACTGTGTCTTGTCAAAACCAGTGTTTAGCAGGCTTAGCTTTCCGAACTACTGGCTAAGGGAATCTGTTTGTGGTTTTTTTCACAGGCTATTGGAAGCCTGTAACAGTTGAAGCCATGTCTCCAGAACTGTATTTGGTAAAAAGGTTCTGGTTATGAATGCCCAATGTGAGTTTTCTGTCTGCTTTAATGCGTGTGGGTAACCCATGAAGCAATTCTTTGTTCTTAATGTGCTAGAAGTGCAGGCATGTTGTAAGGAGTTTGAAAGGCATTCTCCCAAAATTAAGATTAAATTTAGTGACTGTAAGGGAAGAAGTGGTGATGAAACAATTTTGCATGAACATAACAGTGGAAATTAAAATGTGTTAATGTGCTGGCATTTTTTGCCATTAAGGACTTGGTTTATTTGCTTATAATCCCATATGGCAATACTTTATAGCCTCATGTACCCTTAATTGGTGATGCATGGTTCTCTATGACCTGTGTTTTGTGGCTGGTAAAATTATTCACTTCTGTTCAAAAGAAACACTTCTTACTAGTGTTACTCACAGGACGAAGAATTCTCAATCTTCCATACTGAGAACAGACAAGATTCTGTGATTTTTCTTAGGGAAATGGAAGAAGCTGATGTTAGCAGCTCTCTGCTATTTGGAGGACCTAGCATTTCAACATGGAACATGATGCAGCTGGACCGACATGTTAAGGATGGGAGAGATCCAAGGACTGTTTGGAAAGGGAGAAGAAAATGGCATACAAGTACTCTCTTTCACCTCTAGCTGTGTTAAGAAAATCATCTATAAAATCTGCAAAAATCATTCACTGGGAATGAGTTTGCCTCCAGAGGAGTCAGTCTGTGTTGCCAGATTCAACCATGATTCCAGGACACAAGTTCCTATTGATCCTGACCACTATCAGATATATACTGATCTATATACTATATACTTAAACCATATACTCACCGCACTAAGCATAATAACTCACAGCTGAATTAACACTTTTTCTTATAGCCTTGCAGTGTAGGATTTACTTTTGTGTTGCAAGCAGAATTCCCCAGGCACTGATACTTGTCCCCTGGCACAGATGATGTCCTGCCAGATGGAAAATCTGTCAACATTTGTTTGGGTAATGAAGTCTTTACAAATATTTGGCTCATTGCCATAGTTGTTTGGCAAAGACAGCAGAAAATGTAGGCGCGTTACTCATGCATGAGGATTCATCTGCTTACACTACAGTTTAAGGGGTAAACAGTCATTAGGAGAAAAGGAGCGCTCTAGATGTTCATGTATAGCCTTGAGTTACATGAAAATTGAGAGTGAATGCACTCAGAGATTCATACAGATATAAACCAACTAATTTGGGTATTTATTTTAACTTTTTTAGAATAGTTCAGTGTCCAACCAAAACCCTTAGGTGCATTGCCATCTCTTAAACACTTGTTCAAAAAGATACTGTACAAGTGCTTATCTGGAGCTCAGCTTAACGTTGAGACTCCTCATATTTGCAATTTATGACTTGAGCTGTAGGGAGATTTTCCAAAAGATTTCTGTTTTCACATCCAGTTAGACACATAGTGACAGCTGCCTTTAAAAACAATAAAGGGATTTATGTCTGGTTAGGCTACCTCTTTTCACAAAGTGTGCAGGAACTGAGTTATCTTTCAACTAAAGCCTTCTGTCACATTCTGCTAATGTTGACCAGTGGGCTCAGATTTTACTGGGAGATCACATGGTGTGCTAAAACATACGTTTGGTTTTTTTCTTCCCAAGAAAGTGAGGCAAATATTGGGACTGACATATGCAAATAATCAGACTCAGAATGAAAAGTAGTGGGTTTACGACAGAAAGGAGTCAATAGTCTGTCTCCTCATATATTATTTAATGGTTATCTCCTCTTACTATAGATTGCGTTCCAGTGCACAAGCAGAGATTTGTGCATGATCAGTTGTGTTACTAAGCAGATGGATTGTTTGTTATTGTACAACCTGGAGCTTTTATCAGAGCTTATGGCATTATTACTGGATCTAATTCATTGTCATCATCAAGCCTGAAATGCATGATTATTATGTATCATCCTGCTCAATTGTTCACTAATAGGGTAGGGTGCTCTTTTAGCCACTTAAAGATGGAAGCAAGTGGTTTTGCTACAATTATTTGATAGAACTGAGGAGCTGGAAAGGGCTTAGCTGACCTGAAAGTACTGAATACTTTCTTAAGCATTTAAGCATCTTAAACATCACTCATCTGGATTCTTTTCCATTCAGATACTGATTTCAACTAAGACACTAAAAATTATAATACTTGTGATGAAAACAATGAGTGGCAAAGACTGAATTATATTGCTATGTTGCTGGCCTTTGGATAGCCTTGCCAGATGTTTCCATGACTTCAAAGATGTTGAATAGCACAGGGACAGAGGACTACAACTCGTAGGTGTCTTCAGATGAGACCTTTGGAGATGCAGAAACATTTACTCATAGTTACTTTCTGTCTTCCTGTGGCCTGAGAAGCAGCCAGTGCTGTTTCACAGTGGTTAAAATTGCCCCCTAAAATGTCTGTCTGGACTGTCTGCTAGAGTAGCAGGTACTGCTTACCTAGCCCTGCAACACTGGTAGCTGACAGTAGAGGCTTTTTGTAACCGGTTTTTAAATTATCTTATGTAGATGAAGTTAATCTTAGAAGCGACTATCCTGGGCTTTCTGTTATCTCCAGTATTTTCTTACTTTGGTCAGAATTTTATGTTCAGAAAGCGTTCCAATTTTATGCCATAGTAGGGTCTAACAGATTAAGTTTCATGTGTTTCATGTCAACTCTGTTTGGTTGTGAGCCAAGAAAGTAGTGTTCTGTCATGCACAGGTAGTGACTATGGCTTTAAATATTTCTGTGAATTTATAATCTGTAGCTAAATCACTTCTGGGCACAGTATATTTAGCATCTATTAACAGAAGAATCAAAGGGTTTGGTTATCAATACCTTCTGGGGACATCATAAATACTGAGATGATTCACCAAGTTCTAATCATTTTCTTGACACTTTTTATCATACAGGTTCATAGCCAAGAACATTATGAGGCTGCAGCGTCTGGGAATAACCCATGTTCTGAATGCAGCAGAGGGGAAGTCATTCATGCATGTGAACACTAATGCAGAGTTCTATGAAGGCACAGGCATCAGATACCATGGCATTAAAGCTAATGATACACAAGAATTTAACCTCAGTCGCTATTTTGAGGAGGCAGCTGATTTTATTGAGAAAGCACTTTCCCAGAAGGATGGTAAGGCAAACTGGAATATCTTTCTACCATGTTTTCTGTGCACTATGCATGTTTCTTAGCAATTTATTTTACTGCTTAAAATGGTTCTTTGCTCAGATTATCAGCTGAACAACCAAGTCAGGCATTCAGATCAAGGCTCTGGATCAAAGGCACCAGAATACACAATAAGATATCTTAATCATCTGTCTATACATGTAGTTCTCCAGCATATGGCAAATGGAAGTCTGTCACTGTAGGGGTGACTTTGAAAAGTGAAACAGCTGCTGCATCCTGTAATAGTGCCTTTCTGGGAAGACGTGTTCTTATTTTTCCTTAGAAGTGGTAAATCATATAAAAAAGTCAAAAACATACATTCAGCATCTAAAAGTTGTTCTAGGACACTAGAAATTGTAAATTAAAGGCAGAAGTGATACAAGTAATGCGTTGCTGAAGAGTACTCAGATAACCTGCTATATGTTGGTTTTTTTCCAAATGTACAGTAAGGATAGAGACTGTGGCCTTACAATTTTTATTACTTTAAGTCATTAAATTATTTTATGTGATTATTAACTCTTTATTCCCTAGGTTTACAGGAAGGCTGGAGATGATATTTGCAGTGTTGTTGATTGCCACATTTCTCTAGTGTGTTTCCTCAGAGCAGAAATCCTAGGACATAGTGCAGTGGGCCAGACAGTGTTTGTTGTTGTCTGGCTATTTCAGCATACCAGTTATTTCTACAGATGCTTAATTTCTTTCTTGCTTCATGACTAAACATGAAAAAGGAGGAACGAGAACTCCCACAATTCTAGATGTTCTTTCTTTGAAATGGGCAAAAGGGGTACTAGAGCTGTGATGTGCTTTTGACAGATGGAAAGAAATTTTACCTCCAGTTTGGTGGAGTATGAAAAATTCTAAAAATGGAAATGCGACTCTTCCAGTTAGCATTGTGACTCACTGAAACAGGTTGCAGTAGGAAAGAAGAGTTTAACAGTGCCAGCTATACCATGACTGTCGCTACTCAGTTTGATCTAAACAGTTGCAGTCAATCTGAATTTACAGTAGCAGTTCTATTTGCTGATTCTTTCAGTCTTAGTAGTTGTCTACCATGCCTGCCACTGTTTTCTTACTATGGTAAACAAAGAGGAACCTTGTAGCTGGGTGATGCTGGAGCCAGTTTTAAGACTAACTCGCTACTGAAATTTGATACTTTTTATTTTTTTTACATTGAAGTGTAGAGTAAGGACAGTGAAGAGGGATGCAGTAGCATTTTCCTTCAATTTCATTTGAGCTTGTCGTTGCATGAAATTCTGGAAGGCAGGTCTGGTATACTAAAGGTCTGGAAGGCAGCCCTTAAGACACTGCCTATCACAGTGGAAAGCTAGAAACCCTGTAGCTTCTGCTCATTTGCAGAGGGGAAGTCAATTCTCTTCCACATATATGATGAAGAATCTCTAAATCTTGCTAATTTATGGCTATGGGCTCTCAAGAAATGTTGAGAATTAATTGTTTTAGCTTTTAATTCACTACTGACTAGAGATTTGCCTTTAGCTGAGAAGCCTCTGCAGCTCAAGGCAAATGTGGTAACAGGCTTTCTGTTGCTGTGGTTCAAAGCAAGTTGTGGTTATGATGAAAATGTGTGTATATGGGTCATCTCTTCTCTTGTCTCAGAAAAAAATTTACTCTGGAGAGTAGCCTGGGGCCATATCTCCCAGTGCATTTGGGAAGGGGAAGACTTTTGTGTCTGGAAAAGCAGGTCAAAGAGGAAGCAGCTGAGAAGCGATAAAACCACATTAGATTTCTCAAAGAGACCAGTGGCCTGCTTTATTATCATTGGATACCTACCTACAGGATTTACCTATGTGGTGGGTTAGCCTTGGCTGGATGCCAGGTGCCCACCAAGCTGCTCTATCAATCCCCCTCCTCAGCTGAACAGGGGAAGAAAAATATGATGAAAGGCTCATGGGTCTAGTTAAGGACAGGGAGATCACTCAGCAATTACTGCCATGGGCAAAACAGACTCAACTTAGGGAAATTAATTTAATTTATTACCAATCAAATCAGAGTAGGGTAAAGAGAAATAAAACCAAATCTTAAAACACCTTCCCCCCACCCCCCCCTTTTTCCTGGGCTCAACTCCACTCCTGGTTTTCTCCACCTTCTCCCCCCAGCGGCGCAGGGGGACGGGGAACGGGGCTTTGGGTGAGTTCATCCCACGCTGTCTCTGCCGCTCCTTCCTCCTCTGGGGGAGGACTCCTCACTCTTGCCCTGCCGCAGCGTGGGGTCCCTCCCACAGGAGACAGTCCTCCACAAACTTCTCCAACGTGAGTCCTTCCCATGGGCTGCAGTTCATGAACTGATCCAGCGTGTGTCCCTTCTGCAGGCTGCAGTCCTTCAGGCACAGACTGCTCCAGTGTGGGTCCCCCACAGGGTTGCAAGTCCTGCCAGCAAACCTGCTCCAGCATGGAC